TGTTGACCAGGATGGTCTCGATCTCTTGACCTTGTGATCCACCCGCCTCGGCCTCCCAAAGTGCTGGGATTACAGGCTTGAGCCACCGCGCCCGGCAAGTATCACTTTTTTAAATGCCAGGACAAATATTCTTTTGTTTTTTTTTTTAACAACAATATAATTTTTTAAGTTAAGCAAAAAGCAATATACAGATAAATTGAAATAATTTTTCTGTAGTGATGGAGGATCTATTTTAGCCCCGATTACCTAGAGATGTGATTCATATTTGTACTTCCAAGAGTTTCCCTTATTATTACTTAGGATATAGGAACTAATGAACAGATTTGAAGAAGCAAAGAAAGGTGGTAGGGTTTTTCAGAATTTCGTAAGTCCTGTAGAATGCTTTCCTTGGCCAAAAAAAAAAAAAATATTTTTCATTAATTAGTATGGGTAATTGTTTAAGTAAAGGCTCAGTCATCTTTAATAATACCTTGTAATATTTCATACCTAATACAGTTCCTTTATAGTTGACATAACCTTATAATTTTCAGTATCTGTTGTTGTAATTTACTCGTACTTAATCATTCTTCAGATGAAGCTTGAGATCCAGAAAGGTCAAGTGGATCAACCTAGGTCAATTTGTTGAACATGTGGTAGAGCTTGTTTTAAAGCCTTCTGTTCAGTTATTTCAAGTTCTTCTTAGTTAAGTGTTTTAAGGATTAAAATGAACTTGAAAAGCAATCCAGTAATTATTCAAATGAAATTACTTGCTCCATAGTGGTTCAATTCTTTTTCCAGCTGACAGGTGTGTTACAATTCATTTGTAAAACTTACTGATATTATAATCTTTTAAAGGAGAACTCAAAGGGAATATGCCAAAGAAGTGAATAGGACTAACAGACACTTTTTTGAACTCCAGCTTCAGAGATTACAATAAAGTTCTTGTACCATCTTTGTTGCTGGTCTCCCCCTCCTACTATTCTTTACACAGTAGCAGCCAGTTACTCTTCTCTAAAACGTCATTCAGATCATCACTCCCTTTCTATAAAATTTCAGATTTCCCAGTACAGCTTTGAAATAACAAGTCATTAACATGGCCCTACAAAATTTAGTCTTCTGCCGTCCCCTTTATTCTACATCTGATTCTCTTTGCTGTAGTTATACTGGATTCTTTCTGTCTCTTGAATGTATTAAGCTCATGGTCATGTCAGCCCTTGCCTTTCCTTCTGCTTAAAATGCTCTGTCCCTCTGTTTTACCATTCACATCTCAACTTGAAGACCCCAAAATTTCCTTGGCTTCCCTAATTACGCCATTTGCCCCTACCCACTTTACCCTCCCTCACCTGATATTTTATCATCTTTATAGCACTTATCAGTTATTGAAATTATTCACTATTTAGTTGTCTTTTTTTTTTTTTTTTAAGTTAGAGTCTTGCTTTGTCACCCAGGCTGCAGTACAGTGGCACCATCTTGGCTCACCGCAACCTCCGCCTCCTGGGTTCAGGCAATTCTCCTG